CGCTTGCGCAGGGAAATATCCGCAGAATACAAGCGATTAACCTCAGTTTTTTCAGCTCGAGTAAATCAACTACACTTCGAAAAGAAAAATTATCTGCTAGATCAATAACATTCATGTGATAAATGAATCTACGTTAATACGTATTGCAGGAACCAATCATCTATCGAATCAGTAGGTAAACAACAAAACGACAAACAAAACGACAACAGCAAAACAACAACGATAACAACAACAACAAACAACAACCACCGTCTATCCATACCTATAAACAGAAGCTTTCACAATACCTAAGGCCAAACCAACGCAACGAAGAAGCTGCCAGTTATATGCAAGTAAATATAAATGATATACGTTACTATACAAATATGACCCCCTCCATAGCACATGTATCGCTCACAACAACTTTCCTCCTCCATAGTGCAAATACAAGCTGAAGTCTCGATCGATGGTGGTGGCGCTCGCTGCGTTGCGTTGTTGTTGCCGTTATCGTCGTTGTATTGTTGTTTTGTTGTCGTTTTATCGTTGTTGTTGTTTTGCTGTTGTCATCGTCGTTTTATTGCGTTTAAGAGTTTGAGAAAAAAAAAGATACAGGTGGATAGGGGGACATCGGGTATATATACATGTATGAGTAGACGCGTGTTCGCGGGAAGATAACACACACTTGATATTGTCGATTGTTGCCATGCACGACTTTATAAGTATAAATGTTGTCGTGATTTACGCAGTAAGGGGGTGAGAGTCAGCCACAACGATTATTGTCAACCAATAGTAAACATAAGTGGGTATCGATATATTGCCTAGTGGACACATAATTACATCATATCGCATGTGTTACACTGATACTATTGTTCTTATTTACGGAAACAACCGTGACAGTCGCTGTAAAAGTTTTTTCACTGGTTAACAAGTTCGACAAGTCACGCGTATAAACTTAATTAAGCTGATTCATAACAATAATGTGTACCGGAAGGTTAGAAAGTCACCATTAACTGTTAACGGTTTATGGAGGTTTAATAGTAACTTCGGTTTGTCGGGGTAATTTTAATAGGCCAAAGTGCGGATTTCAAAAAAGGTTTGGTCTAACGGGGTTTTCGGTTTATCGGGTTTCGGTTTATCGGGGTTGACCTTGTATTGTTATTCCAGAACATCTTCAAGAATTGGGTCTCATTGAGTAAACTTGAAACTTTAAATGCATTTGCAATTTTGCAAATTAGACATTTATTATTTTTTAGTGAAATATGAGAATTATCCTTACTCCTTCTCCACAACCTCCTTTCATACCATTTTCTCCTTCTCCAAACTTCCTCCTCTTACATGGCAAGAAATACACCATAAAACTATCCTTGCAAAGTTTCTGATCTCCTCTGCCTATTAGACCTTCTGTTATCAACATTTCTCCTGATTCAATCTTTTGTCCTCATTGTCCTTCCACACCAAATTCCATCCACCACCTTTTCTCTGATTGCCCTATTGCATTTTCCCTCTTCAATCTCACAAATTCCATTTGCAACCTAATCATCCCTCATTCATCATTTTCCAACCTTATTACTTCTCCTAACTCATCATTAAAACACATTGGTCACCTTATTTTCTCATCCTTCATATGGACTATATGGTCATCATACACATCACGTACCTTTGGCTACTCAAATATTCCTTCCTTTTTTGATACCTTCAAACTTTTTCTTTGCATTCTTTTAGAAAATAGATCCCTTTTTGCTTCTCCTCTCTGGCCTTCCATTCATCAAATTATCTCTGTTATCAATAATAGAATATCTTCTTCTCTTCCCCCTCCTCCAACTATAATTATACCTATATAATTACCTGGCCATGTGCCACATTTCTTTATTGATTCAGTTAGTCATAGCTAGTTCCATAGGTTCTGTCTATGTACTGCTGTCTAAAAACAGCTTTAGCAGTTTTCTGTAGTTGTCAATAAAGATCTCATATTATCGAAATATGAGAATTATGAGTTGTTTCGATATTAGATTCATACCCCAGCTTTATCCATACAACTTTTAATCATTTATTGTAATATATAAGAAGAGTTAAGTGTTCGGTATACTAATGCAAGATAAGCAACTTAATTGTAATACAAAATTCATATTTCGCAATAATTAAAGAAATAAATGACTAGACCAATTCTACTAAAATAATCTCGATGGAAAGATAAAAAGAGAATGCTTTATCTATAATATCCGCAGAAATAAGATTATTCATCTAGTTGAAGAAGGGAATTCGCATATGAGAGCCGGGAGGGTCTCTTTTCGGATCTTGCATCGTCAAAGGATTTTGTTACGTTCTGAACTAACAACTAAATTTATATCAATATTCAAAGTTAGCGAATTTTTGATGCATACAACACAAAACTCTGCAATAACACTAACCGCCCATTTCAATATACATTCGTAAAAATATACGAAATCCTGCATCTCCGAAAAATCCCGTGGTAAGTTGGCGTTATCAACCTCATTTAGTCGAAAATTTCCTAAATTGATATTGACAGTGAATATCAATTCTTCATAGTATAAATAAAAAAAGCATACGTACCACAGTAATCAAGATAATATAAATGAAGACGTAGTTGAAAACTCTGTGCGCCAAATATGAACAGCCTCTTTGGTAACCGCCTACGATTTTTGATTACTTCTTTTACAATTTTTGAAAAAATATTTTTCAGATTGCGGGAAATTTTTTTAGCATCAGCGATTTCTTTATCTTGCTTCGCAACTGGCTTGGAGCCTTCCACATATACAATTTGGAATTTATCAGCGGTGGTCATAAAACCAACACCATCTGCACGCTCCTTATTAATATGATTTTTCGAGGGAATTTCGCCATACTCGTAATGTATTTTTGCTACGTTCCATAAAGCACTATCTAGGCATGGATGTACAAACGCATTAAGGTGCGCTTGCTCGATTGTTGCAATGTTTTGAAGAGGGTTTTGGGCTCCAAGTGAAAACGCTTTCACGCTACTCAAAAGAAAAATGGTTAGAACAGAATTTGGAAAAATGAATTAATATGATGATAATGACTACATACAACTGTGGTAATGTACGACGTAAAATTCGTACTAGTGCAGTAATTAGATAGTTTTGCTCTGAGGATCGTAAATCATCAACTTTAGTTTGCCAATCGTTATCAGAAATATTTTGAGAGAAGAATTTTACTAGGAATTGGTGCACATCATCAGGAATTAACGATTCCGTTATAGTGTCCATTTCTGATAGGTATGACTTTGCTATCGATTTTGGAAGTATTTTGAAGAAAGATGAACATGAGCGAAGGTCGATCAAATCTCCATCAGAATATTGTTTCGCATAAATCGAACAAATTTTTTCCGCTAATTCCGAGTATTCAATGGCATTCCCTAAGACATCTACTATTGCCTGCACGGTGGAAAAAAAAAAAATCAATAATGTCACAATCGTAGAATGTATTACACAGTTACATACCTTATTAAATTCTCCCACTTCATTTTCATTATTATCCACATCCTCAATACAGATGTCCTCGTTCTCCTTATAATTGGTGTTACTAGTCGGGTTTTCGTTGGTTTGTTTCTGAGTCAGCGAAAAATCTTAGTATTATTATTCATAAAAAACCGTGAAAACAACTAACTTACTCTCTTCTGATCATGAACCGATTTTCCACCGATACCATCGTCTAATAGTTTATGAAACGAAGCATGTGTCTCCCGTTTTCTTTTTTTTATCTTGTCCTATTATTTCGAAGATGTAACCTTTTGTCAGCATACGCCTTAAGTTTCTTCACTCGAATAAAAAAAAACATACATTGACTTTTTCATTCTCCTTCCAATCCTCATATTGTTTCCAGTCGTTATTATAGTCTGTACCATTAAATTTTTTTCGTAAATTCAACAGCTTTTCCGATTCAGGAGCAGCTTTTAATGCGTTGTTCAAACATAAACTATAATCATTATAGCCAGATACCCTTTTTCGGTATCTGAACTCCACAAAGAAGTTCAACGGACGAGGGTCTGGGTGTGTCTTCAAGAATTTGGCTTGCTCTTTCCGAACTTCTTGTGATCTTGGCATTATCGCTATTGTTAATTTTGTTAACAGCGAAAAAGTGTGATAGTTTTTGCCGTAATGTTGTTTGTCGTTTTGCTGTTTTGCTGCTGCCGTTTTATTGTTATTGTTTTGTTGTTGTTGTTGCTGTTGTTGTCGTTTATTGTCGTTTTGTTGTTTTTTTTGTTGTTGTTTTGCTGTTGTCGTTTTGCTGTTGTCGTTTTGTTGTTGTCGTTGTTTGTTGTTGTTGTTGCTGTCGTTTTGTTGTTGTTGCTGCTGTTATTGTCGTTTTGTTTGTTGTTGTTGTTGTTGTTGTTGTTGCTGTTGTTGTTGTTGTTGTTGTTGTTTTTGTTGTTGTTGTTGTTGTTTTTGTTGTTTTGCTGTTGTCGTTTTGTTTGTCGTTTTGTTTGTCGTTTTGTCGTTGTTGTTGTTGTTGCTGTTGTTTTGCTGTCGTTTTGTTTGTCGTTTTGTCGTTGTTGTTGTTTGTTGTTGCTGTTGTTTCGTCGTTGTCGTTGCTGTTGTTGTCGTTTTATTGTTGTTGTCGTTGCTGTTTTTGTTTTGATGCTGTTGTTTGCTGTTGTCGTTTTGTTTGTTGTTTTGTTGTTGATGCTTTGCTGTTGTTGTTTTGTTGTCGTTGTTGTCGTTTTGTTGTCGTTGTTGTTTTTGCTGTTGTCGTCGTTGTTTTTGTTGTTGTCATTTTTGTTGTCATCATTTACAATGGTCGGAAAATACGCGATACGGATTATATTAATTTGACACAATCTGATGCGCATAACCTGATGCGCATAACCTGATGCGCATAAGACTGATGATCCGACATGTTTTCACGCTTCAAAGGAACTTTTTGATAAGGCTTCATCAACTGACAAAAAATTTGAGCCATGGAAAGGACTATATCATGAATGTAAGCAGGCTATTCTCAACAAACTCTCAACAACAGTATTTGTTTCCAATTTCTAAAACATTGTGCTGTTAAGTTTAAGCGATCAAATTATACATTAACTACTAGAATGTGCTGGAAAAAGCAATTGAGCAATAATTGGTACTATCGGGAATACAACACAATGGCAGGTGAATACATTATGAGACTAGCGAATTTGAATGTCATTAATATCAACGACTAACATTAAATATTCGTTATCGCGAACTCGATCACACTATCATAAAATATTTATTCAAATTTTTCTCTAATATAAATAGCAATATATTTATTGTTAAGAGTTTTTTATCTGTTTTACTTCTTTGTTATCGACTTCAACTTGTTATCTATTATATATATTTTATTGAAGTTTTAAACTTTGGTTAATACAGTCAGGAGTTTTACCCGATTTGGGAGACCAGTTCTAGAAAATTCGGAGCAAATATCGCAATACGATTGGTTCAAAGCAGAGAATTTTCATGACGCTTTTATTGATCCAACACTGCAGTAAGAATCAAGCTGACAGTTGAAATACACTTTTACGAGTATATACTTTCAGAATCCACGGGGATCCACGCAACCTTGCAAAGCCGTTCCTCCTCAATATCGAGTTTTTATTTTGCTATTACTGTACGCTTTGTTACACACGTTTCAGTATGAGCTCAAAACTTGAAGCTAAAGATCTACTTTGCGTATGCAGTTCTCTTTCCAAGGATAGTCAGTTATAATATATTAGTCAGTTAACACAATGTGAAATTAAAGAGAATCAAAGGTGACGAGATGCATCAGCTAGAAATGAAACACTAAGAAGATTGTTAGATGAAAGGCTTACTCACGAACAAGATCGTGTGAAGTTGGTAGTGGAGATTG